TACTGAGGGAGTGTCGCACTGTCAGAGGGTCAGTACTGAGGGAGTGTTGCACTGTCAGAGGGTCAGTACTGAGTGAGCGTCGCACTGTCAGAGGGTCAGTACTGAGTGAGCGTCACACTGTCAGAGGGTCAGTACTGAGGGAGAGCCGCACTGGCAGAGGGTCAGTACTGAGGGAGTGCCGCACTGTCGGAGGGTCAGTACTGTCAGAGGGTCAGTACTGAGGGAGTGCCGCACTGTCGGAGGGTCAGTACTGTCAGAGGGTCAGTCTGTCAGATTTAACACAAGGTCCTGGCTATTATCTGAAGTGAATTCTGAAATTCCCAATGCTCAAATTGTTGGTTAGTGGGGGTAGGGGTCGGTAATCATCTTCATGTTATTATTCATCTCTCGACCACGTTGACTAACAAAACAGATTGTCTGCTCGTTATCTTGTGGGATCTTGCCATGTACATATCAGCAGCAGTGTTTCCTATAATCCAGCAGGGACCAAACCTTCAGTGTGTTTTGTCTGGGATGCCCTGCAGCAGTGAAAGGTGCTATAGAAATGCAGGTTCTTGGTGTCTCAGTCAATTTTCAACAGGGAGTTCATTCCTTCAGTAAGACGGATCAAAAGACTGGAACCAAAACCAATTGACCTTGAACCCCATTGGTATCAGGGTCACAGGATCAGGGAGGCTTAATGTCCGGACGAATTATATTTCTGCCTCACTATTGGATACTGAGCTCCAAAGGATGTACAGATTCTTTTGAGAAAGTTTCAATAAAAACCCTTCATTAATCTAGAGATTGTTTGATCCGAGCCTTTTTTCCATGATTTGGGTTTTTGGTCATTGTGTTGAGTTATCCAGGTGCAGGGTGCCTGAAAAACAGCTCCTCACACGCTTCAGGATCCAACCCTCAGTCACGGGCACTCAGTGATCGAGGAGTTTTTATTGTCCTGGGGACGTCCTTTGTTGAAAACTCCAATTGTCTCAAGCAGCAAATTGCAGGACGTAAAGACATTATCTGTTTATTTTGTGGTATTTTTGATTGTGAACTTATTCAGGATAAGTCCCTTCTATCAGGTCCCCCCTCAGCACTCTCTGCTCCAAAGAAAGCAACCTGAGCTTATCCAGCCTCTCCTCATCGCTGAAATGCTCCATCCCAGGCAGCGTCCTGGTGAATCTCCTCTGCTCTCCCTCCAGTACAATCACATCCTTCCCATAATGCGGGGACCGGAACTGCACACAGTGCTCCAGCTGTGGCCTAACCAAATTCCTGTACAGCTCCAACATCATCTCCCTGCTCTTGTAATCTATCGATGACTGATAAAGGAAAGCGTTCTGTAAGCCATCTTAACTCCCCCATTAACCTGTCCTACCACCTTCAGGGATCTGTGGACAATCACCCCAAGATCCCTCTGTCCCTCTGAGTTTCCCAGTGTCCTCCCTTGTCTTGTTCCTTCTTCCAAAGTGCATCCCCTCACAGTGATCAGGGTCCAGCTGCCATTGATCTGCCCCTCTGAACAATCCTCTTATATCCTCCTGTAACCTAACACCTTCCTCCTCACTGTCTACCACCCAGACAATCTCTGTGTCACCCACAAACTTACTTATCACCCTCCCACACTTTCTCATCTGCACTGTTTATGAATATCACAAACAATAAGGAACTGAGCACTGAACCCTGTGCTACATCACTGTACATCGGGCTCCAGTCACACAAACAGCCCTCTACCACCTCCCTCTGTCTCCTGTTGCTCAGCCAGCTTTGGATCCATCTTGCCAAGTTACCTTAGATCCCATATGCTTTTACTTTCTTTATCAGTTTCCCATGTGGAACCTTATCAAAGGCCTTGCTAAAATCCAGTAAAATACATCAACTGCACTATCCTCTTGGGGAGGTGATAGCCTAGTGGTATTATCACTGGATGCTTAATCCAGAGACCCAGATAATGTTCTGGGGACCTGTGTTCGAATCCCGTCACAGCAGATGGAGGAATTTGAATTCAGTACAAAAAACTGAATTAGGAGTCTAATGATGACCACGAATCCATTGTTGATTGTCAGAAAAACCCATCTGGTTCACTAATGTCCTTTAAGGAAGAAAACTGCCATCCTTACCTGGTCTGGCCTACATGTGACTCCAGACCCACAGCAATGTGGTTGAATCTTAACTGCCCTCTGGGCATTTAGGGATGGGCAATAAATGCTGCCTAGCCAGTGACACCCTCATCCCATGAATGAATAAAGGAAAAAAAGACCTCATCTACATACTTGGTCACCTCCTCCAATTCCACCAACTTTGTGAGACATGACCCTAATTCTTTGAAGAGGTGACCAAACACATGGATGAAGGTAGAGCAGTGGATGTGGTATACATGGATTTAAGTAAGGCATTTGATAAGGTTCCCCATGATAGGCTCATGCAGAAGGTAAGGAGGCATGGGATAGGGGGAAATGTGGCAGATTGAATTCAGAATTGGCTGATCCTTAGAAGACAAAGGGTGTTAGTGGACGGAAAATATTCAACATGGTGCTCAGTTACGAGTGGTGTACCACAAGGATCTGTTCTGGGTCCTCTTCTATTTGTGATTTTTGTAAATGATTTGGATGTAGGAGTGGAACGATGGATTAGTAAGTTCACGGACGATACGAAGGTGGGTCACATTGTGGACAGTGCGGAGGGCTGTTCTAGGTTACAAAGGGACATTGATAGGATGCAGAGCTGCGGTGAGAAGTGGCAGATGGAGTTTAACCCTGAAAAGTGTGAAATGATTCATTTTGGAAGGACAAACTTGAAAGCAGAATACAGGGTTAACAGAAAGATTCTTGGCAGTGTGGAGGAGCAGAGGGATCTTGGGGTTCATGTGAGGAGCAGAGGGATCTTGGGGTTCATGTTCACAGTTCCCTGAGAGCTGCCACCCAGGTGGGATAGAGTTGTTAAGAAGGCGTTATGGTGTGTTAGCTTTCATTAATAGAGGGATTGAGTTCAAGAACTATGAAGTTATGCTCCAGCTATACAAAAGCCTGGTTCGGCCACATCTGAAGTATTGTGTCCAGTTCTGGTCATCTCTTTACAGGAAAGACGTGGAGGCGTTGGAAAAGTGTAGAGGAGATTTACCAGGATGTTGCCTGGAATGAAGGGAAGGTCTTACGAGGAAAGGTTGAGAGAGCTAGGGCTTTTCTCTTTAGAACGACGAGGGATGAGAGGTGACTTGATAGAGGTGTACAAAATGATCAGAGGTATAGATAGAGTAGACAGCCAGAGACTTTTTCCTAGGGTGGAGGTGGCTGTTATGAGAGGACATAGTTTTAAATTGAGTGGAGGTAGATATCGGGGAGATGTCAGAGGTAGGTTCTTTACTCAGAGAGTGGTAAGGGTGTGGAATGCATTGCCGGAGAGGGTAGTGGAGTCGGCCTCATTGCGGGCATTTAAGCGGCTATTAGAGAGGCATATGGATGATAGTATAAGGTAGGGATGGCGGTTAGATCGACCTTAAAATTAGAGTAAAAGTTCGGCACAACATCGTGAGCCAAAGGGCCTGTACTGTGCTGTACTGTTCTATGTTCTATGTTCTATGACCTCCCTCAGACAAAGCCCGAATCAAATTTACCTCTTCAATTGCCGATTAATTCTCTCCTTCAGAATTTTTTCCAACTGTTTCCATCCCATTGACGTGCGACTCGCTGATCTGTAATTCCCTGATTTTCCTATATCACCTTTCTTATAAACAGGAGCCACATTCATTGTCCTCACATGGACTGACACCTTCCCTGTGGCCAGAGACGATGTATAAATTCAGGCCAGAGCCCCTGTAATTTTCTCTCTCGTCTCCCAGCACAACTCACCCGCATCCAGAGATTTGTCCACTTTTAAACCCATTGAAACTTCCAATAACTTCTCATTCCCTCCTTCAATCTGCTCAAGGACCTCACAATCCCTCTCCCCAAATTCTGTCCTCTTCCTCCTGAGTGAAGACAGATGTGAGGAACTAGTTTAACACCCCGCCAACACCCTCTGGCTCCACTCACAGATTGTCCCCTTGCTCCTGCCCTTTCTCTGGTTATCCTCTTCCCCTGAACAAACTGATAGAATATCTTAACAATTCCCTGTAAGTTTACCCAACAGCATTTTCTCACCCCACCCCCCACCCCCCGCCACCGCACTCTGTTGTCCTCGTGGCTTTCTTATCGTCCCTGCTACACTTTTCATTCTCCAAAAGGGGCCTCTGTTGTTTTGCTCCCTTTGTACCTGTCTGTCTTTTCCTATTTATTTTGTCCCGAGTATCCCAACGTACCCAGGATTCTCTAGGCTTGCTGCTCCTGCATTTCACTCTAAAGGGAACATGATGGCCCTGAACCCCTTCCAATGAACCTCCCCTCCCTGCCCACATGCCTCCATGCCCACATGCTCAGCTGTGCATGTTTCCACAAGGAACCATGTAGTTTGCTTCCTGCAAACATCAGAGAAGGAATATCAAGATGGAGTATCGTGATCAGCAAAAGGACAATCTCAGCATACCCTGTGGGCAGAGGCCATTCCCTTCCCAGTCTTTCCCTCCATCCATAGGGTAGGGATTAGAACGAGGTCAGCAGGTGGACACATAGAATAGGAGTTCCCTGTTTGGGGCTGTTAATCTGGTCCAATCAGGGAGCCCTGGCTGACAGATACAAACCAGAGTCACAGAGGTTCTGTTCACACTGAGAGCTAGCTCTGAGGGAGCTGGGCCAGTGTCAGGGATCTCCATGTGTAAATAAAGGGTGACTTGTTGACAGATACCAGCTTCTGTGGAGTTATTTTACATAACATCCAATTTTTATGTCTGTCTGTGCGTGTTGAGAGTAGGAGAGTTTTATAAGTGGGTTAGAGTTTTAACTAGAAAAAGTAGGAACAGGAAGAGACCATTCAGCCCCTCGAGCCTGTTCCAGCATTCACTGAGACCATGACCGATCTGCAGCCTAACACCATATACCTGCCTTTGGCCCATATCCCTTAATA